CACACACACACACGTACGTACGTAGATATGTATATAGAATGTACTGACAATGTGAAATATTATGAAAGTCTTGATGTAATAAGAATATTAATTTGCGATGTATTTATATATATGCCATGATATCGCAAGGAGCAAAGTACAAAATGTTATCAGTTACAAATTATTCGCTGTCTATTTTTGTTGTTGTATACTTCGTGGACCAAAGTATCGTGGAGGAATATGTAACACACACACACACACACACACACACACACACACACACACACACACATCTTAACAATGAGTGTAATACTTAATTAGAAATAAAACATTATATATTGGTCAAAAATTATTTCTTAGCAAACTTTACTTTTTATCATAGTAGATAGAAATGGTGTAAGTTGTGCGCGCGCACATATTATATAATCATTATACTTAATATAATATAAAATTGCATATAGAGGCGCGCCTATTTTAGTCTTCAGAAGAGTTTCCATAGTGATAGCAGCAAACAAAGCGAGAATCGAACGAGCCGAACGACAATAGGATAAGAATTTCTGATCGGTTATTATCGGTCTTAAACAATTAATTGAGCAATCTGGAATCTGTGCAACGTATAATCATGAAAATTAATATGTGTATGTTTTTGAAAAATGAAAAAAATGCAATTGATATTTTTTCGATAAAATAATAAATAGATTATCTGTGTGATTCAATTTGGCGAGTTATTATTATCACTATAAAGGTGACATATATAACGATACCAGTGGTGAAACAAGAAAATAAATAAACATGGATAATGTTACGTATGATAAGATGGAGAATGAAACTGCATCTTTGGCTGCCAACGCGCTTAAAATGCCATCATGGTTAATGGAGATGACCGAGTATGTAGCATTCTTTCGCACATTATTACTTTTCAATTTTTTAAGAATAAATATGGCATCGTTTTTTTTTATTTTCACTTTTTATCCTTTATATCAGCAATGTAGAGAAGATTAATACAAGTAACGATGCCAAATCATTAAAAATGGAAACATTTGTTTTAATCGATGATCAGCATCATTTAAAAAATATCATCATCAAGAAGAAAGATGAAGATATGTAAGATATCTATGTATATATTTTGACAATAGCTCATTTTTTCAAGAATATATGCGTTATAAAACGATATTTTGCTTTGGTATTGTTATAGAAATAATCAACCTAATAATTATCAATCAAACTTGAATCATCTTTATATCGATGCTAATATTACATTACAAACACCATGCACGAGCAAATCACTGCCGAATACACCAAAGAGCGAACAAGTACAAGTTAAACGAAGAACACGCGCTTGTTCTGCCGTTGTGAATGCAAAGCATCGTACGAAGAATGATTTTCATGGTTTGGACGCATACTTGGAAAGAAAACAGATGGAAAAGCATGGGATGTATTTGACATTCAGAAATTATAACGACGATAAAATTGGCGATGAGGATCAATCTTACTTTGAACATCGAATATCAAGTGTCCCGAATCGTGCAGATACACGATTACATTTGTCAGATGACAATTATCTTAACGATTCCACATTTAGTACACAGAATGAAGGAAGTCCGAAATTATTATCTGGTCAATATCATGAAATCTTTAAATCTCTCTGCTTTATTTAAAAACAATTTTGTTAAATCATTTGTTATTTTTTTCCAGCTTTTTCAAATAGCTGGTTGATGTCCTACATCTTGTTGAAAGCTTACACATACATCTTACACATGCATATGATAGAAATATAGAATATTAACGCGTTGTCTGCCCAGCGAGCTTTCGCGTCTTATAATTCTTACTGTACTTTAAAGAAAAGGAATTCTCATTATCATAAGCATATATTATATAATGACGAAATATTGTCTAATACGAATAAGTAAATAGTAGTGTATATCCCGGCCGGTATATTTTCAATGAGAGAGTATTGTGTTGAATAGCGCATTTTTTACTTTACATTTATTTTTTTGCGTTACTTAAAATTTTATATTGGGTAATATTTTTACTTTTTTCAAGATTTACATTAAAGCTTTAAAATTTCGATAAATTTCGGCCAGTCGGTACAGTAGTACGACTAGCACGGCAATCAACGTGTTGCATTATTCTTTCATCTTTGTAATATGCAAATATGAATTAAATATAATTTAGTTTATATATTATTTTTAGATAAACTATACAGAAATTTTATTATTCCTGAATTACCATCTGGAGACTCATTGGTCATTGATATTATTTCTACCTGGGGCGACAAACATTACGTAGGTCTCAATGGTATTGAAATTTTTTCAAATACCGGAGAACCAGCAAGAATAAAAGAGATACGTGCACATACAACAAGCGTTAATCACTCACCGAACAATCATAATCCTTATACAATAAATAATTTAATTAATGGTATCAATCGAACAAGAGATGATGCAAATTTATGGCTAACACCTTATTCAAATGGTGACCATCATTATGTTTATATGATATTTGAATTCACGATTACTATAGCGATGATCAGAATATGGGTAGGATTTCTTATTAATTTTACGATAATCGTAAAAAAATTATCTATAAATACACATAGAAATACAAGTATATGTGCAGCATGCATATGCGCCGCGGCGGGTGTAAAAATACACTTGAATTGAAATTATTTCCTTTTTTCAGAATTATAATAAATCTAGAATACATTCCTTTCGAGGAGCCAAAGATGTTATTATTAAATTGAACGATATTATCATTTTTTACGGAGAAATCGCTAAAGCTTCAGGGGATGATATGGGTAGCCTTGATTCTTTTGGAGATGTAAGAAGTCTTATAAAAACTTTCGTTATAGAAACATTAACGACACATAGAGTGATCTATTATACATATAATATAAATTAATTACACTTAATTATTCTTAAATCTCACTCACACACACACACACACACACACACACACACACACACACACACACACACACACACACACACACACGCACGCACACACACACGCGCGCGCATGTATATTATAAATTGAATGAAATCAATTTTATATGTAATGCACAAAAATATTGATTGATGTAGACTATATTATTTACGACGGACGAAAATATTCTGGAATTGATATCAAAACATGATAATACATTCATAGAATTCAATAATGGGACATCAGATTGTGAAGAGAAAGAAATAATTCGTCCAATAACAGCAACAATGACCAATGATCAAGTAAGAGAGCAGTTAATTATTGCATCGATATTTTCATTTAATAATGATAACGATATGTATAACATAGCGCCGCATGTATTAATAAGATAGATAAAAATAAGATAGATATAATGGTAATCTCTTTTTAGATTGCTTCGGCGAGACGTAATAATAGTGACGATTCTATTGAAAATTCTCCCAACGCGGGATGTTATACCAATAACAAAATTCGCAATACCGTTCTTACCCCTCTCTCTTGCCGAGAGATTCAATTAATTATCCTTTCTAATTGGGGATTACAGAATTTGGTTGGTAGGTATAAACATAGGTATAGCGTAAATCACGTGAATTAATTATTGATACAAGTCAAACTGCAGCGTTACATAATATAATCTGCGACATGTATTCAAATCTTTCTTTCGGATTTTCTTGTTATAGGCCTTACCGGTATAGAATTAATCGGGAATCAAGATGTAGCAGTCCCGTTAGTAAATGCCAATTTACATTGTAACGCGGCTGATACACATTTAATGAGACTAATTGACGGGCACAATGTTACAACCGAAATGGATTATATGTGGCTAGCGGATTTAATGTTAAATAAGAGGATTACGATAACCGTTACTTTCGATACGGATGTGTACCTGACTGGAATTCGAATTTGGAATTACAATGCATCTTTGGAGTTGTCTTATTGCGGAGTAAGAGAGAAAGAGAGAGAGAGAGAGAGCGCGCAAATAATTCAAACGTATTGTTCAATAAATGAGAGAACTGAATTCTGATTGCAACGACCAATCTTCTTGCACAGGTGAAACAGTTACTAATTAAATTAGACGGTAGACAGTTGCATGATGAGAATTATTCTGATGGCTTCCTATTGAGACGCGCGCCGGGATCTTGTCATTATAATTTTGTCCAAAAAATTAGTTTTCTTAATCCACCTAATCAAGAACAATCTTCGAATCAAATCATCGATCCAATTACAAAATCACTCGAAGGTATATGTCATTCAGAGACGGCGTATAAAGCAGGCAAGATAGAAGTGTGCGTGCATATATCTATCTATATATAGGTATAAAAAATTAAAAAATGTCCTATCATGCATCACACATAACTTTTTAGAACTCGAGTCTTTCGATTCCAATTACGAAGCTCCGTCGATGCCACGCGGATTCGTTTATCAAATAATAATTTTCTCTACATGGGGAGACTCTTACTACGTGGGCCTCAATGGAATACAACTATATGATAATTATGGAAAAGAAATCAAATTAACTGCAGATAGTACGTTCAGTTTACGTTTAGTTTCAGCAAAACTTTGCGAGAGATTTAATGATTTATGCAATCTTTGCTTCTTTAAAGGAGAAAAAAAAATTGAAAAAGTGAACAGAAAAAGAAATAAAAGAGAATTTCTAATTATAATTTCTATTGATATATATATATATATAATTTATTGATATTTATCAATGTCAATCCTGTCGTTAATGCCGATCATCTCTTGCTAGATGTAGCCGCATTTCCCGAAAGCGTCAACATAATAGAAGGAATAGACAACGACATTCGTACACCAGACAAACTTATTGATGGGATAAATGATATTCGAGATGGACGACATGCTTGGCTGGCTCCTATACTTCCTGGACAAGTAAGCGAAAACAAACCGTACAAGATAATAATAGTCAATTAATTTCCCGCTATGCATTTCTCAGACAAATCGCGTGTATTTAATATTTTATCATCCCATTATGGTATCAATGATCAAAATCTGGAATTATGGAAAAACCTCACAAAGGAGAGTTAAAGAATTTGCAGTAAGAGAAACCAATTGCATTTACACACAAGTATCACTTATAATTCTCCAATTTGTTCAAATTGTTCTAAAATCATATTTATATTTATATTGCAGATATTAGTAGATGACTTACTAGTTTACAATGGGACATTGGATAAATATAACTCATACGGATTGGTAACGTTTGTAAAGGAAAACAGCAATGAGAATCTAGTAAACCGGTAAGTCGTAAAAGCAATGTTATTTACCAACAAGAGACAAAAATACAAGAAAAAAAATTTGCTTGTTGCATGTATATCATACAAATTGTAGTTCAGAGCAAGAGGGTCATCTTTTAAACTTACGAAGAAATACCTCGGGCACCAATTCATTACCGGATCCATCCCTTCGTCCGCATACATCTTTACAATTTAAATAATCGTAATGCTGTAGATATTTATCAATACATATTAAAATGTATTTTTATACTTACAGACTACTAAGATAAGACTTTCATCTTTATATTAGTGTTCCGTTTAAATAATTAATGGCATTAATAGCGCACACGCACGCACGCGCGCGCGCGCGCACACACACACACACACACACACACACACACACACACACACATACAGTATCCCGAAATTTAATATCAATGCAGCGTGAAATTTTGTGAAAAATTAAGTGACAAAAGTATAAGTCATTTTTCTTCATAAAGTAATTTTTTAAGTATAAAATAAACGTTTAAAGTTTAACTATATATAATAGGACAGTGCGCGTGGCAATGTTTTTGTTTAGTATCTAATACTATTGCATGCGCACATCATGGACTTTTTACTTTTTAACGCTTTGCAACTTATAATTATTTATAGTTAAACTTAACTTATAATTATTTATAGTTAAAGTTAATTTATAATTATTTACAGTTCAAAATAAAAAAATAAATTTAAACTTATAATTAAACTTAAACGTTTATATTAAAATGTTTATATTAAAAATCTACTTCACGGGAAAAAATAGCTTACGCTTTCATCACTTAATTTTTTACGAAGTTTCATACTGCAATAATATACTCTCAAATTTCGAGTCACCCTGAGTGTACACAATACACGCGCGCGCGCACGCACACTGTTGTGCAAAAACCGTAATGGGTATATTTCTGAGAGCATTTTGAGACAGAAAATTCTAATACCAAAATGTTGAGAGTATAATAATTTTTAAATTTATATAAGCACTTAAAGTTAGCGAAGAATCATACCTAAAGTTCGCGCGCTTAGGCAGGCTGGATTTTTCGTTGTATCACATCCAAATGCGCGAACTTTAGGCGGTATGATTCGACAACTTTATTAAAGCCTCGACATTTTAGTATTAGAATTTTCGACTCAAAATAATCTTAGGAATTTATCTTTAAGCATAATTGTTACGATCTTTATCAAACATCCTGCATCAATGTGTAATAATATTGTATTGTATATTTCAGCAATAACTATTCCATATGAATATTAGATGTACAAAATTATATTTATCTCGGATCTTGTAAAAATAATGAAAATAATGGTGATATAAAGATTATAGTCTTTGATTAAACCGCAAGCATGAATAAAAAGATTTTATATATATATATATATATATACATCAAATGTATTACATGTTTCGGATATTTCATTTCTCCTATATTCTCGATGTGAATTATGTAACATGTTCAGTTATGAAAGTAATTATATACTCATGGTTTCTGTCAATGTATAGAAATATTTACTTAGTCCATTCCCTTGTCTTGAAGTCCAATATTCCTTGCTTTCGAGGATAATTGTTTCAAATACTCTATATCGTTAAATACTACTTGTGCTCCGTCACTTGCAATATATTTGATAGAAAAAAGAAAGTAAAACTTGTATAATATATATATATATATAAATTAAGATTACATAAATTTTCTATACATATAAAATATGTATATTTTCTTTTACATAATAATATACAAATTATTAAATTATCTTATATAATTTTTGTTTCAAGTTTGTTTCTCCGTTCGTTATGATCTTTCGAACACCTTCGAATTGAGCTATGTTCTAAAATTGACATGAGCTATGTGCTAAAATCATAGGCCCTAAATTCATAGAACGTGCTTACAACGATGTTAGCGCGTTAACATGCTATAATTAACGTTACGCATATTATAGAATTTTAGAGATAAAAGCGCATTCTGAATACGAGTCATAAACTTATAAGATAGGCAGAGCGTTCATACGAGAAAAGTTAAAGCTGATAACATTGGCCTAATTTCCGAGGTTCAAATCAGAATGCAAGAACCAACCAACTATAATCGAGTATTCCCCTGTTACAGTCAAACGACAAGGGAATGTTCGACTGTAGTTGATTGGTTCTTACATTCTGATCCGGTTCAAACCCTCGGTGGAAACTAGTTGTTTCTCTCTTTCACAGTTAGCATTAGGTGGGGGATCTTGAGCATAAGGCCACAACTCTCGAACATCTGTCTTCGTTGCTCTCAATCACTTCCCGGCCGTGGCGACCAATTAATTCACTATTAGAAAAGAAGAGATCTACCCCGCGACTGTTTCTTTCTCTTTCTATTAAGTCTTCAGCTCTCTAGTACGAATGCTCCATCTATCTTATAAAAGTCTATGGATTTAAGGATGCCGTGTAAACGTGGTCAGATTCAGAGTGATTTCAGAATTTAGATTTCTAGCAGAAAATGCAATCTTATCTTGTTCAGTGAACTATTATATATAGGGGAATAAAATTTGTAATATTTTTTACGATTACACGAGATTTTGAAACATTCTCTCGCTGGGAATAATGTTTTTAAACAAAATATTCTTACATAACATTAACGATTAATCGATATTTATCAATGGCATCTCTCGCTATAACAGATAACATTAATGTGATTTCAAGACCGAAAGTTAGATTTTGTCAATTTTCCGACAATACGCGAAACAAGATAGAGATTGTTGAAGATTCTAAACAACAATCTGGCCTACAAACAAGTGGTCTAAGAATCAAGAAAATAGTGACTCTTAAGAAACCCATTAGAGTTGTAAATCCTAAAAAATTTGCAAATATTTGTGACAAAGATACATCTTCAAGTAATATTGACATTTTGTCACATTATTGTAATACATCTGGCAATGTTCGAAATATGTCTTTGTCCAATAAAAATATGTCAAGAATCAAGAGTACAATTCTGTGTGATGCAAATGGTATTCAGAAAACAAAGAATAGTAGTAAAATGTTGCAACGACAGAACAAGAGTTCACAAGATGACATTTTAAAAGACAACGCAAAGAATGTACGACAGAACGGAAAAGAAAATAAAGATAAACTATCGAATAAGTCTGCATCTAATAAAAATAAAATAAGCGATACAACAGGAAACTTTCATCATAGTGTACAATCAGTTACTCGAGAGAAATTTAAACTTCCTATGGATAATATTCATATACCAAAAGTAAATATTCAAGATTTTAAAACATCAAAAATGACAAAGCCGCACTCTGCATCAAGCATTATTAAAAAAACAAGAAATTCAATGATCGAAGGGAGAATTCTTAATGCAAAACCAGTTTCGCATTACAAAACTATGACAAGAAATAGAATATCTCCAGTCCAAAAAATTATATCACGTAACGTGTCAGGTCCTAAAATCAAAACATCTGTGGGATCAGTTTTTCGCAAGGAACAAGCTGATCCAAAATCAGGTGATACAAATGAAAGATGTATCGTTGCATTAGATGTTACTACGGTACAAGATTTAGCTCAACCAGAATATAATTCTATCATATGTACTGTTAATAAGCTGAAAGAACTTGAACGGCAGAAAATTGTAGACATCAATCATTTGCCATTTGAGCTGAAGAGTTTTCTAAATGGAAAGGTAAAACAAACTATTACACACACACACATACACACACACACACATACACACACACACACACACACTTTATTTATTTGAAATCATTTTTTTGTTACAGATTTCTGCAGCACTTGATTTTCCGTTGGATGAGACACTTTATAAAAATTTGATAGATTTGAGTATAGATGAAAAACAATTGCCATCCACCATTACACGAAGTAAGGATCCAGAACCACGGCAAAAAGATATAATACCACAACTTTCTCACTTCTTCATACCCGAAGATATAAAGGAAATTTGTGAGGCTGTACATGTTAAGCTTCGAGCATCAAAGATTGATGATAATTGGAACGCCTTTAAAATTAGCAACAGAATACTCGATTGGAAATACAGTGTAGATGACATAGATTAACGTTTATTTTTCTCCTATATAATTTTGTTCAATGAAATTGTTTAAATTTTAAACTGTATAATATCTACAGCGTAAGTAAAAAATTACAAAAAAAATATCAACTGACAATACAATTAATAAGAATACACAGAATATAAAGGCAATTTATTCAATATATATATATATTTTTTTTTTTAACATAGAATAAATTATTAGAGATATATTTCATCTAATTTATTGTTTATACTTAAAGAAATATCATACATTTAGTCTAATGAAAAATTATTTGTTTTATTTACTCGTGAAATGATATTTTTATTGATTTTCCATCAGAATCAAATTCTGATGGCATTGACACAGAATTGCCATAGTATCTACGTTGTAGATAAAGATAGATGCGACATAAATTGTAGTAGAGACATGTACCAGCCAGTATCATTCCAATTACAACTCCAGCTATGATTATCCTATTAAAATTTCATTAGACTGGCGTTAATATATCCAAAGTATGATGAATTTTCCAAATGTAAATGTATTATATATTTACATGGTAATCCATATGTCATAGTCATTGTAACTGCAGCATACATTTTCGTCACAGCAATATTCTGATGATTCACACAAACCCCATACGCAGTAATGTGCAGTAGTCTGAAAATATATACACAAAACAAAATATATATACACACACACACACACACACACATACACGGAAAGAATTTTCTCTTAAAATATATCCTGAAGATATGATAGTTATGGAACAATATAACATTTCGAAGATTTTTACCATATACTTTAATAAAATTAATCAATTTATTTTATATTTTATTGTACTTTTATTAGTAAAATTTTCATAAAATTCTTTGAAAGGTCCCATGATTACCATATTTTCAGGAAAAATTTTAAGAAAAAATTTTTACTGTATATGTAAGATAATAAATTTATAGATGGAAAAATTATAAATTAGGATGTAAAGAATTTTGATGAAATTGATTTTATTATAACGACATTATAACGACATTATAACGTTGATAAAAAGGCAAACGCATTAATAAAATGATATTCCTCTTTCTTACAAACATAACATTTGTAACATTTTTACAAATGTTTGTGATATCGATAAAATATCGATATCACAAAAATATATAAAATGATAATCAAAGATATAGAATTAATGCGAAACACATAGGTATTACCGATGAAATCGCGAAACTCCAAGTCAATATAAACAATATATTGTTTGACAGATACTCCATTGTATGTATGTACATATGTACCTACATATGTAAAATCACGGAGGACATTATACAAAAAAGGATATCAAGATGAATGACTTTGGGAAACAGGCGGAAGGTGCGATTTTAGTGCCGTTGTGCGGGAAAAGTTGGAAGTATATACACATGATGAACGCGTACGAAATACATATGTATGTATGCACATTTTATTTTTAACGCAGAAATTCCAATTGGTATAAAATTTCCATTTTGTTTGATTAAAAAATAATTATTAAAAAATACATATATGCATGTATAGTCATAAATTATCATTTTTTAACTTACCGACATCAAAAAACTGAAATTAAAAAAAAATGAAACGGGACTATTGTGCCTATTGTGTTTCTATAAACACTATTCTTCCATAAAGCTGTAGATACAAAGTGCAATCCTTTTATCTGAGCCGTTAAATAATATCGACAAATTTCTTATTGATTATTTCGAACTGCCATTTTTGACCTAGTGGTTGTAGTCCAATGAGCACTTAGTATTATTAATATATAATATAGGCTATGTTCCAAAAAATTGACTGCTAGTACCGAAAATCTATAACATGTAATATGTACGTCATGTGCACATAATGTAATGTAAACTGTAGCATTTTCAGTGCTGCAATAGATTTGGAACACAGCATAATTACTTTAATGGAGGATTTTTGCGTTACTTGGTATATCTAAAGTTTTAAGCCGGAAACATAATGAAAAGCACAGGCATTGACGAGACTATTGTTAAAGGCGGTCGGGCGTTTATGGAATTTTGCGTACTTGTTAAATTTAAGTGATTAAGATCCGGTTGCACCAATGTTACTTTCATTTTAAGCAAAACTTTAAATTCTCTCTATCTCGTTTTAAAACTGAAAAGAAACAGGAATAAAAAGTTTTAAATCTCGCTTAAAATTAAAGTAACGTTGGTGCAACTGGACCTAAGAGTAAAAAACTAATAACGCGGAACTAATTTCATGATTTATTAATTACGTAGATATGTATATATGTTTAAAACTTAATAATACTCGATTTTTATTAAAAAAATTGTCGCCTGGCGTCGTTGTTGTCATCACCCAATGTCGTCGCCCAACGTCACTGAGCGTTTAGTGAGTCATGTACCTATTTGGTCATGCACCTATTTGGTCTATATTTTTGGATCTATTGGAATATGCCAATTAGATGCAAGAGCTCACTGAGCGCTCGGTGAGCGGTATAATAATAGATGCATCCAGAAGCACAATCGTTCATCGAGCGCTCAATGAATTCTTGCATTTGATTGGCACATTTTATTAGATCTAAAAACGCTTTTTCAAAGCTAGAAATCACTCCTTTTCTGTGGATGATATTCCGATCATAGTTCGATCTTATTTCAAGATTGTCTTAAGTAATATGTCTTGAAACGGTCCGGATATATAATAGATGTAGATTTTAAGCTTTAAGCTGTAAGAAATTGACCAACAATCACATACAGTCGAATATGAGGAGTAATAATTGATTGTGATTCGTCCATTTCTTATGGCTTAAGGCTTAAAAATCTATTGTAGATCCGGGATAAAGCCCGATATCCACTGCTAGAAATCGATCCGAGATCTTGGACAGAGAAAAAAATTAACGAATCATTGAATATTTAGATCATATAACAATTGCGATTGATCAATTCTTTCTTCATCCGATGTCTCGGTTTTTAACATCGTGAATACAAATACATACAACACACTTAATACGGCCCTCTTGGTTTGTGACTGACTTAAATATAAGATTTGATTATGAATACCGGCACAGTATAAGTACGTACAGTATGGACACTGAGCATCTTTGATGTAGTGGATCCCATGACTCGCCGCCATGTTGTGGGTTGGAAAGGCGAAATTATAAATTTGAATTTTTATAAAGCTACAGAATGATTTTTCTAAAAAACAACAATAATTCGGTCGTGAAAATATATAGCGTGTATATTTTTAAATCAGAATTATATAATAATATAATATTAACGAATTCATTATATAAAGATATTAATAAT